TACCAAATAGTGTATCATTCATTTCATTTGAAGTGTACTTCCAACTGTGACCGCCCCTGTAACCAGTGTGCAATCCTGCCTTTGAGAACATGCTATTGGTTTTTAGATGGGATTTCAAACCTCGGATGAACTGGTGCAATGAGGAATAATATTCACACATTGCCCCGGGCCAAAGCATGTGTAAATATGTACATGACATGTATGCTGCATGTGCACACAGATGGACAACTAGTGTTTTATGTACAGATTCTAATACATAAAGTAGATGTCAAATACTTTCTTTTTATTTTCAATTAAATACTTACAGCCCCTGATGTATATCCCGAGTTGCACAAGCTACTTTCTTGATTAAATTTCGATTTTAAATAAAGTGTGTGTGTGTGTGTGTGTGTGTGTGTGTGTGTGTGTGTGTGTGTGTGTGTGTGTGTGTGTGTGTGTGTGTGTGTGTGTGTGTGTGTGTGTGTGTGTGTGTGTGTGTGTGTGTGTGTAAACAGATGTTAATTAGGGCAGGACTGGCAGCTGCACAAGTCAGCCAAGAGGTGCTGCAGTTTTGCTGTTTTTCTCATGACTTAAATGAACCCCACCTTTCACTTCCAAAACAAAAGTAAAAGACTAATATTGAATTTCATTACCCACTTTCAATATATTGACCCTTGCTTAATGCATATGAGCAAATGCACAGATGCGTAAAATGAGATGGAGCAACAGACTAATCTGCTTCAACGTTGATTCTTACCTTGCTTCACCAGAGATATGCAAGGTAATGCTTTGAAACAGAACTATGCAATTAGACATGGGTTTTGTCAACTCTTTCTACTCAGACTGATTTAGATGGTTTGTTTTTTTTGGCCTTAAGGTGAAAAGCTGATGAAACAAGCCCCAACCCAGTAAGGTAAACATAGATTATTGATTTCAGCAGAATCTATAGTTGCTAAATGCAAAGGTGGGCAACTCATACCTGTGGACTAAATCCAATTCAGACACAAATTACAAGTCCAAAGGTGTAGAGACTGATTCGGTAAAGGTAAATACTTAACAGCCTTTTACATTAAACGCATCAAGACCTATTTGTTTTAAAGGGATCTTAATGTTATTTTTCCCTTTAGTGTGGCAGGGTTGAGGTCTCAAAATGTTACTTTGAGTCGGCATGTGTTTCTGCCCACATTTAAGTTAACAAATGAGGCGGGACGGACAGCAGGGCAAGAGGACGTGTCAACTGTCAAGTGGCTGTCAGGTTATGTAAATGCGTGCAAAGTCAGGAACACAGTGAGGACACCAGGCTCAGGGAGCTGGAAAAAAATATGCGTCACCGTTCAAAATCAATCTCCATCGATTCCCTGCAGCGACATGATCTTCCAATAGCCACTGAGTGTCAGAGGTACAGCCACATCCATAAACCCCTCACAAAGAAACAACAAAGATGAAAAAAAATACATACATGTTTATTTTACAAGAAGGGCACATTTTTTTTTGTACAAACTGTAAACTAAATACTGTAATTATTTTGAGGGTTATAATCTTTGACATCACGTTCATGAATGAACACCAGAAACATTTTAGTTAATAAATAAATATATAAACAGTCAGTGACTGCTGCATCTTACTGTAAATTGTAACCCCACACTGAAAAAGAAAACATACAGCATGTACGTTTGCTACACATTAAGGATTTTTGAAGATAAAAAGCACTTGTGTTCATCACGACTACATTTTGAACATCATTGTACAATACTCTATCCTGCACGCCCCAACGCTAAATACTGCAATTTAATTTTGTACATGAAGCTTTGTCACTGAATTGATGTCGAGGTAGGGACTCCGTCATTATCCTAGACAGTTTGAGTAAGCTGAAATATCATCATCACACTCCCATGGCCTGGGAGTGTTGTTCGCCCTACATCTCATGCGTCCCTTGTCCCGCCTTTGGAGGGAGAGGAGGAGGGATTCTGCACCGTCAGATTTGCTTAAGTTGTCATACATCATGTAACTACACTGATTGAGAGACCGTGTATACTGTCATCTTAACTCCCGAAAGCAACATGTAGGGCAGCCTGGAGGAATGCTCGGGATCAAACAAAACATTTTGCTTGTGGGAATGTTGCCCGACATGGCCTCTTCCACAAAAAGCAGTGGCATCTGGAAAGATGACTCACCAAGTTGACAAGGTGATGGCTCAGGAGGGGGTTTACATGGAGTCAAAATACATCAGAGATCATTTGCCCTCACAGCTGGAGGTATGTTTCTATAAATGTGTACATACAGCATATACGAAAAACATCTGGTAAACCTGTAAATGCCAATGATGTCACAACAAATGGCAGATTAATCTCTTTAAGAATACCCACATTTCAGCTTAAACACTGGTTAAATCACAGCATAAGCTACATTACAGCCACATTCAGCCAAAATTTGAATTTTGGCAAAAGCAATAATATAATATAATAATATCTATAATAATAACAACATGGCTAGTTGGGGCTTTGATTCAGAGCTTTGACTCAAACTACAGAAGGGAAACAGTCGGCCCTGTCCGTTTAATAATAAATTAAATCTGTGTTAACATAGGGAGTGCTCATCAAGTCGACAGAGGCAGCCAAGAGAAAAGAAAAAGAGATGGAGGAAAAGGAGGGTAGAGGAGGTGGAGGGGGAACCAAATCTTCTCTAAGGCATTTCCCCTTTATGTCCAATGTCCAGTCAGATTATGTGCAGTTCATGTTTTAACGCTTGTTTGAGCTGGCTTGTGTTTGGAAATAATTAGGGAGTAAATTAAGAGGAACTGAGGAAGAGAGAAAAGGAAAGGTCACTGAGCTGATATGGTTGAGAGTTTCTAAAAGGCATGGGAGTAAAGGGGAACGTTTAAGTATATAGTGGCACTTGGAATAGAAATGTAAATCACATGGGAATTTAAATTAATTCTTAATAAAACATCTTTAATCCAAATTCAAGTTCATAAATGTTTTAAAGTGATGGAACAGCAGCTGTAGCAGTGGCAGAGGACAGGGAGGCAGAGAGGACAATGAGTTGCTTTTGTGTAACAAGCCAAGTCACATATTGAGCTAAAAGCTTTCCCCCCATTTGTTGCCATCTAGATACAGTAGCATTGGATTTTCCAGAGCAGGAAAATCAAATGCTTCATTCAAGACCAATTGCTTTCTATTGGATCTGCTCTGCCTTTCTCTGATGTGAAACTGTTTCACGCCTTCATCGCCACACACAGCATACAATGCCCGAAAGCATGCTGTTGAGCACTCTTTCCCCAGCAACACTGAATACAACTTAAAACTAGAAGTAAAGGCTTAAAAATAATGTGTGCCACGGATACATTAACATTTATTTAAACTCTGACAGAGAGAGAGAGTGGGTAATCTACCCATAAAATAAGGTTATGAGCATGTGTTTTTCATACTGCTTTTCCACCATGTTTGCCACACTCTTACTACTTGTATAATGTAATGCTCTCTGTCATGTGTTTGACTGTAATTGGTAAACATGCATAACTTTTATAGCATTGCTATGTTGAACGTTTGAGACAACAATAGCACTATGTTTTACCAATTAAGAGTTCATAAGCTTAAGCTTAACTTAATCTTGTTTGAGGTTAATAATAGCAAATATTTGCAAACAACAGCTTAATTTAGTTGTATGATGTAATTTGCAAAATCGTACTATTGTCAACTGCAGCCTCACTGGCCAATGTAAAGCCGATGTTACATAGAAATGTTAACAACCTTTAATCTGAAACAACCTATTTGGAGATTCATCTTTTGTAAACTAACTATAAATGACTCAGTGAAAAGGATTGTAGCTTAGCAAAAACATGACCCTTTTAAAAGGTGTTGGTCACTGTTAATAATATATTTCATATTTCAAATGAGCTTTTTGGTATAAAATCATTTCATCATTTGGACTAACTTATTACTGCCTTTTGGACAGGACCTTACTTTGACTCTATCACAACTCCAGTTGTAATTGTATACATAGGTATACAGGCTACAATGCCAAATGGGATGACTGGAAGAGGAATGGGAATATGAATATGTTCCATATCTTGCAGGTAATGGTGGTTTGACTTGGACTTCACCCATGCAAACAGAGCAACTGTCACACTGCATGCTCTCCTTCGCCACTACAGCACAGCATGGCTCCCAGCATGAGCAATTTACAAAATCAGATATCTGCAAGTTTGCAAAAGGTCACCAGGTGTCACTTGCATTACAGATGAGTGAACTCTGCTGCTGCTGCCTCCTCTGTCCAGGTGTGGGATTTGTAGTTTATAGATCTACATTCTTCTGACAGAATTAGCCATAAGATAGATGGATAGAATAACCAATACAGCTTTAAGTGGGCATAGTAAAGATATAAAATGGAGGGCTGCCAGAGAAGAAGGTCAAGTCAAATTCAGATGGACAAACATAAATGGAAAGTAGAGTGCAGGTGTAAAGGACTATGCTGACAGAGGAAAAAGGAGGTTGACAATGCTTTAGAAATAAGGGTGGTTTAAGGGAGGAAGAGACTGAGGAAAAGGGGAGCAAGTAAAAGTAAAGAAGAGAAGACTGTAGGGCCCTAGAGAGGGTTTGCTGAAGAGTAGCTGGGAGGGGAGACAGAGCTAATGATAACATGGAGTGAGAATAAACTGGAGGGAACTTCAGGTGAGCCAGTCTGATCCGTCCCAGGTGGGCATGAATGAGAAAAGATAAGAATAGGGTACAAGGAAGGAAGATAGACAAAGAAAGATACTTTTTACTCTTTAGAAACTGCAAGGTAACAATAGGTTGGGAGGTGTACAAATGAAATATTTAGAAATACAGTATATGATAACTTGGCTTACGGTTTTGAACTCCATTACCTGCCCCCTTACACTGAAACGTAATATTGTTACGTTGGTGTCTGAAGCAGTTTTAACTCAAATCAATTACCACGGCAATACAGTTGTTTTGAATTTGCAATAAAAATGTCAATAGAATATAAACGTACTGAAGATAAATAACTGTCATGAACAACTAAGCATACTGAACCAAAAGCAATTCCCAATTTACCAATGTATCTTTTTCATGAAACAAATACAAAGCACCTACCTACAAGACATTTTGCTAACAGTTACTACATCTTCCTCCACTGTATACACTGTGTTTAAGTCCTTCCAAGGTTGTGTCAGTACTGTACAGAATACACATGCAGATGTATACATCTTTGCAAATGTAACAAAAAAATGTATACATGTGCACTTAGCTAGTGTTCTGCTTTAATATTCACATTATCAACATTTATCATCAAATGTGTCAATTTCATCAATAAATGCTGAGCGTATTTTGCAGATAGTTATATCCAGGATAAAGTGCCTTTACTTTAAAACATTCTGTAGGTTTTTCCATGTAGGTTTTTGTTGACAGTCTTAAGGTCCTGTATATCCCATTCACTGTTTCTCTGCCATGCATGTTCTTAAAGACATCTGTCTCTTTGTGCTGTCCTCCTGGGTAAGCTTTTCTTCCCTTTGTGCGTACATACATGCCGCGGTGTACTTTGATCCATCTTTGCCTTTGTTCAACATGAAGCGGTTTTATGCTGTCCGTTCTGTGTTATGGGATTGATTTTCTCCAGCGTGACCTCAGTATCGCTGTCTAAATTCCCAGAGATGGCTGGGGAAAGTTTCTCCAGAGCGTTGTTGACCATGCCCACCTCGATCTCCCCTCCACATCCATCCTTCTTCTGTAACTCCTCGTCCTGACACAGGATGCTGTGGGGGATCACATAGTTAGCTGAATGGTTGCCCTCCTTAGGGATGTGACTCTTGGGCTGATACTGACAGTTGGGGTTTGTGTTAGGGGCTCCCATGTTGTTGTTAATACTGACGATTTCAATGGCGTTGCTGCCCGGGCAGAGCCGGTGGCAGCCCAAGAGGATGGAGAAGGCCTTGCGGAAGTCGGCGTTGAAGGCATAGATGATGGGGTTTAGCGAGGAGTTCGCCCAGCCAAACCACACAAACACATCAAAGGTGGTCGAGCTGATGCAGAGGAAGTCCGTGGCACTGTCCGGCACGTCGGGCTCACAAAACGGCACCATGCAGTTAAGGATGAAGAAGGGCAGCCAGCAGCAAACAAACACTCCCATGATGACTGAGAGCGTCTTTAAGACTTTGGTTTCTCGTTTGAACGACATTTTGAACGAGCTTTCACTCTCTATGCTCGAACTATTCCCCATGCTGCTGTGGCGATTTTTGGCACTCTCTGCTGCCCGCTCCAGTGCAGATATTCTCCGTATCTGTATCTGAGCGATGCGGTAGATCCGGGTGTAAGTGACTATCATAATAGCCACAGGGATGTAGAAGCTGATAAGGGAGGAGGAGATGGCGTAGGTCCTGTTAAGGCTGGAGTCGCAATTGTCAGGGGGCAGATCGTCAGGGTATGTTCCATTTAGCTCTGCGTAGCTGGTGGTCTGAGCTTTGTGCCAGTTAAGCTGAACAGGAATGAAGGAGATGAGGACTGACAGGGTCCACGCCACACTGATCATCAGACATGCCACTTTAGGGGTCATCTTGCGTTCATAGCGGAACGGGCTTGAGATGGCCCAATACCGATCTACACTGATCACACACAGGTTCAAGATGGAGGCAGTGGAGCACATGATGTCAAACGCCACCCAAACGTTGCAGAACGCGCCAAACGGCCAAAACCCAACAATCTCAGTTGCCGCCTTCCATGGCATAACCAGGATAGCTACCAGGAGGTCAGAGATGGCCAGCGAGATGACAAAGAAGTTGGTGACCTTCGACCTCAGGTGTCGGAACTTGGTGACGGCAGCGCACACGAGCGTGTTGCCTAGCAGCGTGGTTAGGATGAGGAGGAAGAGGAAGCATCCCGTCAGCACACGCTTGGACGAGTGTCTCTCTGGTAGCAGCTGCTTTCCATCTTGAACCGTTGAGAAATTCAGATCCATTGTTTATGTTACACTGCTAATAGAGAGATAGGGGGTGGGTGAGGGGGGTGTCAACAGTCACCCCATCACATCCCCAGCCTGCAGCAGCTGTGCCTCTCTGGGGAGGAATTTTAGACGGACGGCGTAGCTGGTGGAGAGGTCAATTGTCTCGGCACCAGCTCTCCCACAGACTGGGTCATCCATAGGCTCCTTGTTTCAAACACCATCCTTGCAAGAGAATTGCTATAAATATTTCAAAAAGATCTCTTTGAAAATTTGCCTCCCGAAAATACCTGGTTCATAAATTCCTGCAGCAGCAGCACAGGCAGCAGACATTCTAGTTTTAAGGAGTGAAATTATTCCAGCTGTTGTTTGCAGTTATTTCTCCAATCAGCACTGTAGTCTTGAAAAAAAAAAAAAAAGATTAAAAGTGAACTCCTTGTTCGTTTTTCTCCACTCTCTGGATGCCTCAAATGTCAAGTGAAAGTTTCACAGCATATGGTTGCCGAGCTGTTGAGTAAACAGAGGCTTGGCCAATCATTAGCCTTATATACCAACTCATCAATAAGTTCTATTGACGGTTTTCGCGCTTCGTTTATCTGATTTGTTCAATGATTCTCTTGGCGTGTCCGTGTGATTATATTGGTGCCTGTATCGACGCTGATTCACCCCAGCTACTAGGTGTTTTGTTGTATTTATTTATATCTTTGAATGCAGCTCCCTGTGAGTAAATGGATGGCACAGTCTCCACACCACATGTTCACCTGAGTGGTGAGTCATAGAATTAGGCGTTCAAAAGTCTTAACAATCCAATTTCATATCACGGAGATATAAATTAAAGTATAAATCATTTGCAGGAAATCATCTCAGCTCTTTTTAAGCTGACACGTCGCTCTATTCCAGATGCGAAGTCATTTATTTCCCTTTTGGTTTAGTTCGCGTGCACAGCACAACGACCGCTCAGCTTTCAAAAACATTCAAGAGATATATTGGACACCAACCTAAAGTATTTCTGGCAGTGCATTCCCTGGGTTGACGTCTTAAAAACAGAGTTTATTTCCTTTTTTTGTATATATTTCGGGAGCGTGCGCTTGGCTCTGTGGATGTAGGCAGTCCAGATTCCGCAACACGCACCGTCTTGGGTCAGCTGGAAAAATTAATTAATCCAAAATCAACGTGAAAAAAAAACGTGTTCCCGCTAAATCCACCGTTTGTCACCATACATCCAACTTGTATCTTGGTACCAAGTGAAGGAGAAGGAGCTCACCGTCTCGGCGCACTCCTCCATGGGGAAGTCAGTCACTCTCCCCTGTTGCGATGGTCCTCAGGTGTTTTTTTTTTTCAAAGTCCTTTTTTAGAGCCATCCACTGCTGTGCAAAATTCAGTTACCCCTGTGATGTGTTTGCGGTCTGACTGGCCGGCGGAGAGTGATGGGAATGACTCCGATCTCTCCAAGACACGTTTTCACGCGCGCTCCTCTCTCTCCGCTCAGCTGCTGCTTTGCGCCACGGTCGGTGCCACAACTGCTCCATCCATCCAGGCAGGCTGTGGAGTGTAAAGCCACCGCAAATCACACCGTACAGAGCACTCCTCTGGTTTGGTAGAGAGTTTAGCCACATATGGTTTGTGGTAACGAAAACCTGCACAACCTACCGTAACTTAAAAAAAAAGTAGGTTTATTGAATACAGCCTATGGAAATACATAGTTTTTGATTTTTCTTAAATAATGCAAATGTCTTTATGAAACCTGATTCGTCTCAAATGTTAGTGGCTGTCTAATAGCAACATCAAAAACTCAGCGTTTCATTTGCAAAGTAACAATAATGATCGTATTCCCTAAAGCGTTTTGCATTTTATTTTACACCTGGACACTGAAAAAACCTGTAGCAATATCAATGATTTTAATTCCCCAAAATGAAAGAGGAACCAAATATGAAGGTGACTTGTTGTCCTTTGATGAACTTGTAGCCAGCAGGCATGAACACAGAGGCACAATGAGGCCATCTACTGGATGCAAGATTGTGGGAGATTATGTTAGAGTGGAAGCCGAGGGAGTGTGCATTAACGTCACCTCAATAAACATGACTGAACAACTCTGAATTAGATCTGAGTCCCACGAGCCACTGCAGCAGGAGGAGTCGGACCCATGTAGATAGAGAGACAGTGAGTGTCGAGGTGTGTGTGTGTGTGTGTGTGTGTGTGTGTGCGCGTGCGTGCGTGCGTGCGTGTGTGTGTGCGTGTGTGTGTGTGTGTGTGTGTGTGTGTGTGTGTGTGATGGCTAATGCCGTTAGCTGCCTGGCGAGCCTGGCCAGTTTGAATATTAACTATTTACAAGATGAAATTCTCAATGGACTATGTGTGTGTGTGTATGTGTATGTGTATGTGTATGTGTATGTGTATGTGTATGTGTATGTGTATGTGTCAGCTGCCTGGCGGGCCTGGCCAGTTTAAATATTAACTATTTACAAGATGAAATTCTCAATGGACTATGTGTGTGTGTGTATGTGTGTGTGTGTGTGTGTGTGTTTTATGTGTGTGTGCATTTGTGTGTGCGTGTGCGTTTGCGCGCATGTCTGTGTGTGTGTGTGTGTGTGAGTAATGCATGTAGACATGCCAAGTGTAAGAGGCCTGGCAGACACAACGCCCACATTTCCCATTTCCCTGTAGCACAGAGCAAGGGTGTGCGTGCAGTAGACAAAGTTCAAACCAAGACAACATCACACACACAAAAACACACACACATCTTGCTCACTCACTCACTAACACATGCACACACAACCAGCCATGCAGGGTAATTTATGTCTGCTCCAAAAAGCAAACAAAATAGAATGGAATGGGAAAGAATAGGAAAGTCTTTTTGGGATGACTTTTTGCCACGTTCATATCAGATGTTTCATTTGTCATTCAATCTTTATAAACATGATTTTATATTCACCTTTCAATCTATGCTTTTCCATGTGGGAGCCTACATTTAAAAAAAAAGAAAAATGAAAACAATAGTGCTTCCCTTAGTCTATTGACTTTGTGTACCGAAATTCAAATCAGCATACGTCTAATTAATTAAGGTCTCCGTGATGCATTTGAAATGAGCAGCAAGAGTCCTCTAACACATGCTGGTTTAATTCAAATTAATTCAGCAAGTTTGCTAATGAACTGGAGTAACAAAACTTTGTGTAACTTTTCATGACACCCAGAGAGTGTGGCAGCTCGCCTGCTGACAGGAAGTTAAGAGACTCATACCTGCCATTCTGCTGACCTGTCAGTTATTCCAACTGACAATGAATCAGAACAGATAACTTGGAAACTCTTCAGGTTTCTCACCATGCCTGGATGGTACCCGCTGATCTCTGTGGGATAAATGGTGCCATCCTTAAATGTCCAGGAATTAAGCCTAAACCCTTTCTAATCTTAAAATATTACCACAAGCAGGGATGAGAGCCAATATGGAAATGCCAAAGCAAGGGAAAGTTTAAAGATTAATTATTCGCGCTTACCACACGTTTCATCATCCCACACTTGAATATTAAATACGTTTTGGACAGCTGTGATCTACGGATACGCAAATACATTTATATGAATGCTTTCTTTAAGGATAACTGCTGTCATAAGGTGTGTGTTGAGCCAAGATGCATTATTCAGCAGTGCACAAATTAATATATAGACATTTGTATTTATAAAGCGTATTCCTTTAAACAAGCTGGTTTCCGTTAACACCATATTTAAAGGACATTTCTGAGTGTGTCTGTCAAATGTTTGGTGGCTTCCTTCATTTCAAATTCACATCTGGTGCAGATAATTTACAGTAGCTTATGTTGGAACCAATTACAATTATACCCTTTTTATGACATTTACCAGAGGCAGCCTTCATTACTCATTAGCTGGAGCATTTTTAGTTTCATTTACAATAAGTGGGGCAATTACGTAAAAACAACACTGAATACTAAGCTTCCAGGCTGTTATACGGATCTGCCTATAAATTCTATACAAGATCAGCCTAAGTGTGTGAAAAGGCTGTGGCCTTTCAATTCTATCCTTTGTGCAAACTATAATCTTAAAAATGGTCTTAATGCAGGTGCATTGAATTGTATGATTTGAGTCTTAATAAGATGCTTTAATTGTTATGCATGCATCTTGAGTGATACTTGCTGTAACAAATGCAAATTTCCCCTCTGTGGGACGAATAAAGGTATTCTGATTCTGATCACTATTTATTAACGTTTTGGACCCTTTGGAGATTTCTCAACAAGTATAATGCAATTTGTACACCATCTACAGTATCATAAATATACAACACTCCACTCTGTGTGCACAGGTGTCTCTCAATAATTGGCAGCAACAGAGTTTAATCTGCTACATTGAAATTCACATTTATGATGAATATAATTAGCGTTGTTGATTTCTATAACCAAAGACAAGAGAGTAATTCAACCAAAAAATACAGTCAGAAGCATTTTGGCATACACAAAGTAGTTTATGAAAACAAAACCAGTTTACACCTCCCTCATGATTGCTGTCAGCATAGATCGTCTTTAAGAGGTACATTGGGTTTTCTGTGTGATAAATAAAATCAAATTTACAGTGAACAGTGTTAATAAAACATCAGTGGAAATGTATTAGACTTTTACCAAGGTGATCGCTGCAAGATGAGACAGTTTATCAAGCCCAGCTGTCAACAGCATAAGATCATTCTCTGTGAAAGACCAAATGAAAATAGCATTAGGAAACACAAACTGTCAGATATTACAGAGTCATGCTTTTCTAATATTTTACTGACAAGTTGCAGAGCGTGTGTGTGTGTGTGTGTGTGTGTGTGTGTGTGTGTGTGTGTGTGTGTGTGTGTGTGTGTGTGTGTGTGTGTGTGTGTGTGTGTGTTTGTGTGTGAGTAATGCATGTAGACATGCCAAGTGTAAGAGGCCTGGCAGACATGTGTGTGCATGAGAGAGAGAGAGAGAGAGAGAGAGAGAGAGAGAGAGAGAGAGAGAGAGAGAGAGAGAGAGAGAGATAGTCGAGAGAGAAAAGGG